GGGGGGGGGGGGGGGTAAGACGACTCTTCACTATTCTAATCCATGAGCTAAATTGCTCCATGACCTGGGCCTCCGGACTGTTGCAGAGTCGGAGGCAACCTTCACGAAGCCAGGGAGCAAAGCTTCCAAGCCACCACAGGTAGGGTTCTAGGGTTTCGGCTTTGGGGTTTTGGGGATTCAAAACTTGCTTTTAGCTGTCGGCTGGAGATACCCAAAATCGCCAGAACCCTGAAGATCGCTTGTGCAAATATCCGGGCCTTAATCATTTTCAACAAGGTTTTGGGGTCCATCATATTACAGCATACGGGGACGATAAAGGGATGCTCTTACTACTTACTCAGCCCACGCACGCCTCAGGCCCTTGGGGCGCCCTTTGCCAACCCCACTGTCAAACCTAAACTCTAATCCCTATAAACCCCAAAGCCTACACATCGATATCCCTGGACCTCGGAACCCCTGAAGTCCCATAAAGCCCTTTCTAAAAACCCCAAAAATTAATTCTAAACCCCATAGACCCTAGCCCCCAGTTGCTTTGAGGCCCCGAAAAAGTCTCTGAAATTGACATCCGCATTGCCAAGCCTTCGCCTCCGCCACGGCCTTCCCCTGAAAGGCATGAGGAGGCTTGGGGCTTGGGGCTGAGGGTGTAAAGGCCAAACTTAAGCTTTCTTTCGGGATTCGAATTCAGGGTTTAAGGCTTTAGGGTTTTTGAGCCAGGGTTTCGGGTTTTCAGACTTTTCGGGCTCAGGGTTTACGATCAGGCAGGGAAGCCTGGTCTCGGACTCGCGCCTCTCTAGACGACCCGCATGGCTAAACCAAGCTGCTATGAGTGCCGATATCGTATACAAGGTCCCCTCAGCCCGAGGCCTACAAGACGATGACTCCACTCCAAGAACTACCCTCACCATTAGACAAGCCCCGACATTGTCCACCCAGAACAGCCACCACATTCGTGGTGTTGTTGTTGTTGTTGCAAAAAACTGCTTGGGCCCGCACCGATACGGACCGCAGCACATCGTCGATCTCGCCACCACTACCCGACCACGCCGACCTGTTGCGCAGAAGGATGATAATACTACTGATTGGACCTTAGAGGGTTTAGGGTTCAGGGGTTTAGGGCCAAAGTTTAGGGTTTAGGGATTAGGTTTGGAGGTCTTGCTTGGCGATGAGGGCTGCGGCGGTGAATGCGCGAGCAAAGCTTGCTGCCGGCTTTAGAAAAGATCCATCGGCACTGCCCTTGCAGCTAGCAAATGTCTCACTGGATCTCCGACCTCTCCTAGAATATAGCGAAAAGATGGAACCTTAAGAGCCAGAAAATATGGGACCTTAAGAGCCACAAAATTGGGACCTTAAGAGCCAATGTTGGTGCTCATTTCGGCCCCCTGTCTTGTGCCCAGAAGGCCCTCTAGCATTCAAGGCCTCGCTGGCCGACGCAGGGACGCGGGCCGTGGGGGCCCAATGGGCTTGGCTGGGCTCGCGAAAAGGCGGCCACCTGGAGAGGTAGGATTTGCGACGCTTTGGGGCTCAAAAGCCTTAGGAAGTCTTGGGGCTTAGGCTTTTGTGGGGACTAGTGGCTTGGAATTTTTACGAGCCATTTTGTGAGTACTGTCAAGTGGCTGTGGAGGTGTCACACCTACTGCTTGTCAGTAGTGAACACGCTTACGCATGTGTTTCAGCACGAATGAAGACACTGCCTGCTCACCCGTCGACCTGTCCACCTCTGAGCATCTACAACTACATCCACTTGAAAATCAGAAGATGTAAATAATTAAACAGGGCGACATGGATAACAGGCTTAGTCTTCGAGTCTTCGACACAGTGGTCTTGCCTGCTTATTGCCATACTTGATATCAACACGACGATGATGATGATGATGACGATGATGGTGATGGTGATGGTGATGATGATGATGATGGTGATGATGATAATTTTGACGGTGGCGATGGTGATGACAATGGCGATGACGATGATGATGATGATGGTGATGATTGATGATGATGTTGATGACGATGATGATGATGATGGTGATGATGATGGCAGTTGTCGTCCATGCTGCTGTCGCCGTCGTGGCCCTAGTCCTCATACTGACTCACGTCCTCGTCGTCTGCATCTTGTTTGATCACCCGGGCTCATAGCTGGCAGAAGTGCTCTTGCTGCTCTGCTGTGACCACTTCCGCTACATCATTCATCGGCGCCCTGCCGTCGACCCAGAAAGCGGACTTCCAAGGCAGCCTCAGAACCCTACACTTTCGAGTGTACAGCTGTACATCCAGCCCTTAAGCTCTAAGAGTCGACATCCGCAAACCCTAATGGGTAGTTCTCTAAATTAGGGTCCCTTTTTGGGCCCCCTTCTACCAAAGGACCCTAAAAGGGACCCTGATTTAGAGAACTACCCTGATACACTCTTTTGAACCCTTCTACCAAAGGACCCTAAAAGGGACCCTAGTTTAGAGAACTCCCCGAAAGAACTCCAAAACGTCGAAAGTCCTGACTGTGATTTCTGGCTCCAGCGGCCTTGTCCTGCTCTCCGTACCAGGCACCTTAGGCACCGCTTCAAGGTTGGGGCTCCGGCCTTTTGGAAGTTTTTTTATGCCATACTTATATAAAAAAATGTGTAGTTGGATGTCATACTTATAATCAAAAAATGTAGTTGGTAAGTGTTCAATCAAGCATACAGAATAGTTGTGATGGGACCCTAGAAGAAGCCGTGTTGGTAATCATGCGGTCTTCTACCTTACACCCCAGGCCCCCCAAAAGCACGAAAGCCCTGCGTAGCCTCCATTTTGAAGCCTAGGCACAGCAGGGCGGCTGCCGCCGCAGAGGCAGCAAATGGCCGGCGACTGGGCCTTAAGAAGCCGCTTCTTTCAAGGGTTAGAATTTAAGGCTTTTGGCTTCGGAATAGGGCTTTAGCTCCTTTTTATCCTGGGGTTGAGGATGAAATCGTTTCACGCCTGTCTGGATCGTGAGATACGTGGATGCCCAGGAAGTATGTTCTGAGCTACGAACATCATGGCGGAAGCTTTGTCTCAAAAAATCCCGAAAGCGAAAGGTCCATGCGTCGGTTGATCCGACTCATGTGGGAGATACCGCCAGTCGTATTTATGAGACCTGGGGAGTTCAGGCTTTAGGGCTTTGGGGGTGCAGGGTTTTTGGGGGTGCAGGGTTTAGGGTTTAGGGTTTAGGGCTTGGGGTGCAGGGCTTTAGGCCTGGAGCTAGCGGTCTGAGCGTTAGTTGTATGCCTGAGGAGCCGAGCATTGCGTCTGCCGCTCGCGTGGTTCGCGAGGCTTGCGTCGCAAGGGGCTTGCACTTCACTCAGCAGCTGCGGAGCAGATCGAGCAAGTTCAGGACTCAACCGCGATCAATTGATGCCAAAACCCTAAACGCTTAACATAAACCCGAAGCAGTTTCTGAAGGTCTGCATTTCAGGCAGTACGGCTTTGGGATCTGGGCCGATAGGAGAGGAGCTCAGGGCTCTAGCGTTGAGGTTGCAGGGTCCGCCTCTGGAAGACGCTGCCAATGATCGGGTTTAGCGTTTCGGGTCTAGGGCTCCGTCTTAGCTGTCGGCATCTAGGCCTGAACTACTTTTCAAGGCTTCCGGTGTTAGGACTTAGACCGCTTTTGAACCAAGAGCACCACAAGAAAGGAGATGCACGCGCCCTTTCCTCCATGCACACTTTCAGAGATCCTACTTGCTTTGGTGCACTGAGAGGGCTCATGCTGTGCGGAGACGCGCGCTCTCTCCCATTGCAACTGACGTTGACTTTGTCGAACGGGCCCACCCACACAAGACATTCAAGGAGCGTGGTCAAGGCCACACTGCTCCAAAAGGTGCTAGTTAAGATTCCTTTCGGAACAAAGCTAAAGCCTTGAAACGGTCTTGGTGGGTGCATCAGATGCAGGGGCAAGCAAAATGAATGAATCTTATAGGCGAATTGTCATCCTGCTAACTGTGCTGCAACAGTTAAGTCTGCCAAAAAACCGGGAGGTTCTCTTGCGACAGTCCGTGGGACACCGTAAATCTGTCAAACCCGTTAATTCCGGTTCTCGTTTGTTCAGTTTCATGGGGAAGCTGGCTATTAGGCTTGAAAGAGAAATCGATCCTTTTGCTAGCCTCCCTGTCAAAACACTAGGACCAGCCGCGAAGAAAGGACGGCTAGCCATGATCCCGGGCGAGGCTAAGCCTAAGGATTGGCATCCCAACAAGTTTAGGGCCAGGGTTTAGAGTTAGGTTCCGAGGATTGAGAGGCTTAGGTGTCCATAAGCACTTGCAGAGATAGTTGCCCCAGCTTCTGCTTCTTACTTGCATCTGCGATAGATACACTCACCAATAACCCACAAGGAGCCCAATGTACACTCATCAAGAACCATCATATGAACCCTATCTCTATACATACATACATACATACATACATACATACATACATACATACATACATACATACATACATACATACATACATACATATATATATACATACACAATACTTCATACCGACTTCAGAGGCGAGTTCTTACGCAAAGACCCTGTGAGACATGCTGGCCCCTGCGGAAGCTGTGCCACAAAGAGTCGAAACACTGGGCCACACTTTACTGACTGTACACTCTCTCTTTTGCGAGATCATTCGGGCATTTCAGATCAACACGGTCACAATATCACAACTCGCCAGCTATGTCATCTGATCGTTGCTGAAGATGAGTGATTACGACTAGGAATATCTCAGCAAGCTGCCCCTTGTGGCCTTGAACCTATCTGCAACAGGAACGCACGTTAGACAACCACCATCAACTCTAGAAACTCTGATATTCAGTCTCAGCTTCGGGAGTAACTTATAAGTGCGGTTTTTAAGCAAAGAAAAGGGTCCACTGCAGGCTCCTGTAGCCTCTAAACGGCGACCAAATATACAATGATCCGAAGTGCCCCAAGATGAACAGAAAAAGTGGGAAGATTTTGGAGCTTGCTCTCTTGCTCGTAGGCAAAGGTAGCGCTTGTGGGTACCAGAAATGGCGAAGCGCCCAGCAAGGATGGACCCAGCGGCCCGTGATGAGAGTTTGGAACCATGACTTCTGCCACTTAGGCTTCAGGATCGGCCCCTTAGGCTTTCGGAGGCGGGGCTCTTTCGTCTTGGGCTTTCCCACATTAACCGGTTTAGGGTTTTAGGTTTTAGGGCTTAGGGGGTTCCTTCCAAAGAATCTCGTTTAGCGAAAAGTCTCCCATCCGAGCTCGGATCTGTCCCCCGCCGGAAGGACTTGCGCGAGTCCGGGACACGCGCGGCCGGGCCGTTTTAAACGGAGGCCCGCCACAAGAGCTGGATCGTCTAGGATGCAGAGGGTTTTGGGTTTGAGGGTTCAAAAGGAGGGTCTTGTTTGGAGTAGATTTCTGTGGTGCTTGCCCAAAAATCCGAAGGAGATCTCTTCATCGGAGATTTGGGGTATGTTGTGCTGATGATGGCATGTCGGAAAATGATTCGCCGGGCTTGTATGGCAGGATTGTTGCTGACCGCACTGCCAGTAGAAGCGAATCACTAGACCCTACAGCGTAACAGCCTGAATGTAGGACCTAAACCCCCAACCCTGAACCCCAAACCATCAACCCTCAACCCTAAACCCTACACTTCGAACTTCAGATGTGAATCCACGATGCGTTCATGCTTCGGACCCTGCATGCTGCAGCAGCCTCTTTAGACCTGGGATGCTAAAAAACCGGACGTGCATGGGGCGGCCTCTCAAAAGGCTCCTAGGCTTCGGATCGCCTAGGATGGTTTAGGGCTTAGGGCTTAGGATGGTTTTGGGTTTAGGGTCTAGGATTATGGTTTAGGATGGCTTAGGGCTTAGGGTGTAGGATGGTTTCGGGTTTAGGGCTTAGGGTGGCTAAGGGTTTAGGGTTTAGGATGGCTTAGGGTTTAGGGTCTAGGATGGGTTTAAGGTTTAGGGCCCGGTTTAGGATGGCTTGGGATTTAGGGTTTAGGATGGCTTAGGGTTTAGGGTTTAGGATGGCTTAGGACTTAGGGTTTAAGATGGTTTAGGGTTTTGGGTTTTGGATGGTTTAGGGCTTATGGGGTTTAGGATGGGTTGGGGCTTTGGGTTTAGGATGCTTCAGGGCAGTTTCTGCGTGCTTTTGAGGAGCCCTCCCCTGGGCCACGCCGCCACCCCAGCACCGCTGAACAGGAGAAGGGCTGAATGGGGGGGATTCATGGGCTGCTCCGGTTTAAGAGGGTTTTGGGGCTTTAGGGTTTAGGGCTTTAGGGGTTTAGGGGTTTAGGGGTTTCGGGGTTTAGGGGCTTTGCGGGTTTAGGGGTTTAGGGTAAAGCGACTTAGGGTTCAGGGGTTGAGGGTTTGGGGCTTCGAGGGGATGCCAGACCAACACAGTGAAGACTTGAACTCGCACTTCAAAGAAGGCATCGTGCCCTGACTGCTGATGCGGGAGTCTGCAGAACTGGGGCTACAAGACACTTACAACGCAACAGCGAGTAGAACGATATCGGAATGGTTAACGACCAGCTTCTCATATACAGGTGGGCTTAACGCCAAGGGTTCGGGGTTCGGATCTTCGTCGCGGAACCGAAAGGGTGAGGAGTGGAGCGGGTTTCATGATAGGGCTTGATGATATAAATTTTGCATTACCCATAATAAGGAATATACCATAATTCCCATAGTTTAGGGCCCTTAAGGTAATGCAGGATGTACATCATCAACAGTAGGGCTTGATTAGGGGTTGAGGAGCTGCTCCTGGAAGAGCGGAGACCCTGATAAGCGAAAATGAAACGAGTGCTTCATCCACAGCTGTCCTCATGTCATACATTCCATTATGGCCACAACTGCAAGGGCTCGCCCTATTATATTGGGATACACGGGGTAGTAGTCGCCTCGGTTTTTTTTGGGGGGGTTTGAATTTTTGGGAGCTTATGGTTCAGGGTCTTAGAGGTGTGGCGTCGGGCGGCCAGGCATCTTTGCCGGGCCTCACGTCATCTATATACACGGCGTGCTGAAGGAGGCCTGAAAGGGTGCGACACCAAAAAGCTTCAGCAAAGAAGGGACCCGGCAGAGTAGGATCCCTACCGTAAGGACCCCGAAATTCTAGGTCGGGGCACCTCTGCTCTGTAAAGTTAATATAACTCCCCACACTTCCATCGTGCTGATCACGATCTCTCGCCACCTGAACCTCAGAGCCTGTTCCGCAGCGTAGCTAGAAAGACTCGGCCGAGATATTTTCTTGCCTTCCCATGTGAATTCTTGAAAAATTGAACCTAAAACTAAATACGTGCGAGTCGAGAAAGCCTGAACCCCTTGCACCTCAAAATCCTGAGCTCTAAACTCCTCCTAGCACTCCTAAACCCTAAACCCTAAACCCTCAACCCTAAACCCCTAAACCCTAACCCCTGAAACCCTAAACCTGAACTCCTCCTAGCACACCCGCCGAAGTTAAAACCCCGAAAGCCCCTTCCGGGGGCCTCGGGCATCCCGGCAGCGTCCTGTCCCTGAAGCAGCACGGCCACGCGAGACTGGAGGAGCGCCTCTGAGCACCGAGGAAGCCGTTAGGGCCTTTGGGGATTTTTTTTTGGGTGGGTTTTTTAGGGTTTAGGGTGTGTAGGGTGTTTAGGGCCTTTGGGGATTATTTTTGGGGCTTTCAGGGTTTAGGGTTTGTAGGGTTTTTATGGAGTTTAGGGAGGAGCGCCGCCTATAAGCACCGAGGAAGCCGGGCTCAAGGGGGATTTAGGGCGTCTTTGGGGTTTCTAGGGCTTTAGGGTTTTAGGGTTTAAGAGTTTTTTGGGGCTTAGGGCTTTAGGGTTTTAGGGTTTAGGGCTTTAGGGTTGAGGGCTGTAGGGTTTTATGGTTTAGGGTTGTAGGGCTGCAGGCTTTTAGGGTTTAAGGGTTTAGGGTTTAGAATGCTATTCGCACTTTGGGTCCTAGGTCGATCGATTTGCGCTTAGGGACCTGAGGCTGTGTCAGACCCGAACTAAAGCCCCTGAGGAGTTACTGGCTTGCAGGCTCCCTACCGATCAAACTCTCGTCATGGCCTCCTTGGGTTTTTTGAGGATACGGAAGCCCCAAGTAGACCAAAAGCCCTTAGAGCACGCCTTCGCTCTCTCCGATGCGCGAAGCTGCTCCTCCCGAGCCTGCATCCCAAACGCCCAGGGTCCATTGCGGCTGTGTTTTTTTCAGGGAGTCTAGGCTTTGGGTCGAGAACTTCAGGTCCAGGGCGCTCGTTGTTCTTGCCGTGGGCTTCGGGTCAGGTCAGTTCGGGTAGAACGTGAAGCTTCGGTCTCTGAGGCTGCCTGGACAAAGCCTCATCTCTTCTCCTGAGTCTCAAGAG